AGGATCTCCTTGGAGTGTTTTTGGGATGGAGGGGATGGTCTCCATGGTGTCCTTTGGGGTGTTTGGGATGGAGGGGGTGATCTCCAGGATCTCCTTGGAGTGTTTTTGGGATGGAGGGGATGGTCTCCAGGGGCTCCTTTGGGGTGTTTGGGATGGAGGGGATGAGCTCCATGGAGTATTTTTGGGATGGAGGAGATGGTCTCTATGGTCTCCTTGGAGGATTTGGGATGGAGGGGATGATCTCCATGGTCTCCTTGAGGTATTTTTGGGATGGAGGAGATGGACTCCATGGTCTCCTTTGGGGTGTTTGGGATGGAGGGGATGAGCTCTGGGGTCTCCTTTGGGGTGTTTGGGATGGAGGAGATGGTCTCCATGGTGTCCTTTGGGGTGTTTGGGATGGAGGGGGTGATCTCCAGGATCTCCTTGGAGTGTTTTTGGGATGGAGGGGATGATCTCCATGTTCTTGGAGGATTTGGGATGGAGGGGATGGTCTCCATGGTCTCCTTGGAGTGTTTTTGGGATGGAGGGGATGGTCTCCAGGATCTCCTTGGAGTGTTTTTGGGATGGAGGGGATGGTCTCCATGATGTTCTTGGAGGATTTGGGATGGAGGGGATGGTCTCCATGTTCTTGGAGGATTTGGGATGGAGGGGATGGTCTCCATGGTCTCCTTGGAGTGTTTTTGGGATGGAGGGGATGGTCTCCATGATGTCCTTGGAAGATTTGGGATGGAGGGGATGGTCTCCATGATGTTCTTGGAGGATTTTTGGGATGGAGGGGATGGACTTCATGGTCTCCTTGGAGTATTTTTGGGATGGAGGGGATGGTCTCCATGGTCTCCTTGGAGTGTTTTTGGGATGGAGGGGGTGATCTCCATGGTCTCCTTGGAGTGTTTTTGGGATGGAGGGGGTGATCTCCAGGATCTCCATGGAGTGTTTTTGGGATGGAGGGGATGATCTCCTTTGGGGTGTTTGGGATGGAGCTAATGATGTCCATGGAGTTTTTGGGAAGGAGGAGATGATCTCTGTGATGTCCATGGAGTTTTTGGGAAGGAGATGATGATTTCCTTAGAGTCTTTTTGGGATGGAGGGGGTGATCTCCATGATCTCCCTGGAGTATTTTTGGGATGGAGCTGATGATCTCCCTGGAGTATTTTTGGGATGGAGATGACGATCCCCTTGGAATATTCGGGAAGGAGATGGGATGGAGCCTTTNTGTTCTTGGAGTGTTTTTGGGATGGAGGGGATGGTCTCCATGATCTCCTTGGAGGATTTGGGATGGAGGGGATGGTCTCCATGATCTCCTTGGAGGATTTGGGGTGGAGGGGATGGTGTCCATGGTCTCCTTGGAGTGTTTTTGGGATGGAGGGGATGGTGTCCATGATCTCCTTGGAGGATTTGGGATGGAGGGAAGGTCTCCATGATGTCCTTGGAGTATTTTTGGGATGGAGGGAAGGTCTCCATGATCTCCTTGGAGTGTTTTTGGGATGGAGGGGATGGTCTCCATGATCTCCTTGGAGTGTTTTTGGGATGGAGGGGATGGTCTCCATGGTCTCCTTGGAGTATTTTTGGGATGGAGGGGATGATCTTGGAAGATTTGGGATGGAGGGAATGGTGGCCATGATGTCCTTGGAGTGTTTGGGATGGAGGGGATGGACTCCATGGTCTCCTTGGAGGATTTGGGATGGAGGGGATGGTCTCCAGGATCTCCTTGGAGTGTTTTTGGGATGGAGGAGATGATCTCCATGATCTCCTTGGAAGATTTGGGATGGAGGGAATGATCTCCATGATGTTCTTGGAGTATTTTTGGGATGGAGGGGGTGATCTCCAGGATCTCCATGGAGTGTTTTTGGGATGGAGGGGGTGATCTCCTTTGGGGTGTTTGGGATGGAGGGAATGATCTCCTTGGAGTATTTTTGGGATGGAGAGGATGATCTCCATGATCTCCTTGGAGTATTTTTGGGATGAGGGGGTGATCTCCTTTGGGGTGTTTGGGATGGAGGGGATGGTCTCCAGGGGCTCCTTTGGGGTTTTTGGGATGAAGATGATGCTCTCCACGATCTTCTTGGAGGATTTGGGAAGGAGGGGATGATCTCCTTGGAGTCTTTTTGGGGTGGAGGGTGTGATCTCCATGATCTCCTTGGGGTCTTTGGGGTGAGCTGATGATTTCCTTGGAGTCTTTTTGGGCTGGAGGGGGTGATCTCCATGATCTCCCTGGAGTATTTTTGGGATGGAGATGATGATCTCCATGATCTCCCTGGAGTCTTTTTGGGATGGAGATGACGATCCCCTTGGAATATTCGGGAAGGAGATGGGATGGAGCCTTTTGGTGCCCGTTCCAGGTGGCCCTGCTGGAGACCAACCCCTACCTGCTGGCGCTGACCATCGTCGTCTCCATCGTCCACAGCGTCTTCGAGTTCCTGGCCTTCAAGAACGGTGGGATTTGGGAACTTACGGGGATCCAGGGCCGGGAAAACCCCTCCTGGAGGTGGGAGTTGATGGTTTGGAGCCCTTTTTGTGTCCCCCACCCAGACATCCAGTTCTGGAACAGCCGGCAGTCCCTGGAGGGGCTCTCCGTGCGCTCCGTCTTCTTCGGGGTCTTCCAGTCCTTGGTGGTCCTTCTGTACATCCTGGACAACGAGACCAACTTCGTGGTGCAGGTCAGCGTCTTCATCGGGCTCCTCATCGACCTCTGGAAGATCACAAAGGTCATGGACGTCCGGGTGAGTCACCCGGGGGCGGAGGGGGTGGGCTCCGGGATCTTGGAGGGTTTGGGATGGAGGGGGTGGGCTCCGGGATCTTGGAGGGTTTGGGATGGAGGGGATGGGCTCCGGGATCTTGGAGGGTTTGGGAAGGAGGGGATGGGCTCCGGGATCTTGGAGGGTTTGGGAAGGAGGGGATGGGCTCCATGAG